AACGTTAGGAAACAAAACTTCAAGACCACGGCCACATAGCCCAGAAGACCCACACCAGCCGATCTTGTCTTTATTCTGATTTATATAAATAACACCAAGCATAAATTGCATTTTTATAAAACATTTTCCTCCTCCATTTTTTCACTGAATCATCCCAGCAAAAAACCCTCATTTAGTACATGATAAGTATTAAGTGTGAAACTTTGCATTTCAATTTGTGTGACTGTGATAACGTCCCACTTTTGAAAGTGTGTTTAATCTTAGTTCCATTGTGTGAAAAATGAACCATTTTAGTGGGGTTTTTTTTTTTTCTAAAATAGCTTTGTAAAAATGACAGCTTTGTTGTGGTTGTTCTCAGCTCTGCCACAAACTTTATGAGGTGATGACTAAACTGGGAGAGCAGCATGCTGACAAGGCCTTCACAATCCTTGGGGCACCCAGGTAAAAATCTTTTATCATAATGCAGTTAAACATACAAATAATATAATATGTTACTTTGGACTTAGTAAAATGAATCAGCTGGTAATAAATAGTTTATTTACTGAATATGTGCACTCGTCTTGTTTTGTATCAGTCCACATCTGGCATTAAAAGGAGGTTTTAATTGTTGGAAATTCAGTATAATTTTGCAGAAGTAAATTATAATATCTTAGGCAAGAAACAGGTTGTATATTTCTTAGAGATGATTAAGGGACCCATTCTTTGCAAATTCCAGTGCAAACTGACTTGGTTGGTTTGACTTGGTTTCCAATTCATGTGCAGTTCAGTATGCAATTTTCTTTTGGATTTCTCACTTCCCCAAATTTTGGCAACTCAAAAAGAATCAAAATACATATAAAGCTATATACATGTACTGTATTTGGAGAGAAATTATTAATAATGCATTATTGTGTGAGAAAATAATTCTAATATGCATATTCAAATGCAATTTTTCATATTCCTTTTTGTAACAAATGTAAATGAATGCTAAATGGATGGAATGCGTTCATCTGGGAAATGAGCAGTTCACATGGCCAAGAGGCAGAAGGAGCATTTCAGTTATTGCTTTCCTTCATGTAGGTTATATCTTCTCCTGATTGTGGTCTCTGATTTTCAAATGTGGGTTTTGTGCCTGCACGGAGAAGCTTCTGGAGTTTGGTGGGAATCACACTCCCAAATACTAGGTGTGGCTCCTATCAACAGCAACTTCAGCAAACTTCCTTTGAGGTGTTCTTCTGTCCAAATTATTTGGTAATGGAGACTCAAGTCGTCCACCCTACTCCAGCACTATAATCTGGATTTCTCAGAGAGATGCTGCCTTTAGAAGGACTATCCTCTGTTTGGTCATCTTATAGCAACCAGATGCTCCTCAGTTATAAAACTCATCCATGACAAAATGAACTAGTTACTTACCTGTAACTGCAGTTCTTGAGAGGGTTATTTGTTAATTCACACAACCTAGCCTCCTAACTGAGATGGTATCAGGTAATTTGATGGTTCCTTCAGTTTGCTCAGTTAGTCTTAAGGACTGAAGGAGCTTGATAAAAACGGTGGTTAGTCATATGATATGGGGGGGGGGATATCTAGGCTCTGATCAACAACAGCTCTAGATTGGAAAGCCAGAAATCATCTGGAAAATGGCATTTTGGTAATGCTGCCAAGAAAACTGGGTGAATGTGTCCATGAAATCACCAGGAACCAAAGTTGAATTAGAAGAAACTTAATGTCACTGGTCTATATTGGATAAGGTTCAAAAAGAATGTATTGTGTCTACCTACTTAAAGCAAAATGTAATGACTGTAGGTCCTAGCTGAAGCAAGCTTTTATTTCCTCATTGAAGGTTTGCCTGTACTGAAACAAACTGAGGCAATTTATCCTTTCATATGTTATTCTATTTCTTGGTATGCTGTGAGCATTTCTAAAGTTAGACCTGTTTCTTTCACATCATAACTATATAATGTTTCATTTAAAAGGAAAAATATTAGTAAACAAGCCTTCTCTCTCCCCCTCCAGAGTTGTTAATGGAGGGGTGAGAAATGAAAAGAAAAAAAATGACAAGAAAAAAAAGGAAATTAATTAATTAAAAAAAGAAAAAAGGAAAAATGTTTTCTTAATTATTTGGTTTTCTGTTTCTTTATATCTCTAAGTATGATATTATTAAATAACATATAACACACAAGGAGCGGTATAATATTTGAAAAGGTTAAGTGGGGTCAAAGTGGGAAATATTTTGCAAATTTTCTCCCAAGAAAAATGTTTTCAGTAATTTTATTTGGAGCTAGCAGACGTACTCGAACTGGTACCTATCTCCCCAGTAGCCATTCAAGATGCCTTCATTCTGGATTTGTTTTCTGTCATGTCTGATTTGCTGAATGATAATGTACTGATACTATTTAACTGGCTGCATCGTGTTCCCTCAACCTAGTGTACTCTAGATGTGTTGGACTTCATCTACTTTAATGCCGACCAGCATGACCATGGGGATTGTTCAGGCTGGTTGAGATTATGGGAGGTGAAGTCTATTTTATCTGAAGAGTACCAGGCTAGGTGAAGAGTGGGCTGTATAAATCTTGACTGGCTGGGATTGGGGAGTCAGACAAATATTTCTTCACAAGAAGACAATATTAAAGCAGCATCTAAGTAGATCATTGAATGGCTTGAAGGTGGATGAGTGAGTTCAAAAACATGTTGCACTTTCTAAAAGCCTGCCTCTTTTGCACCACAAATATTTGCACAAGAAATATTTATAAATCCTATAAAGCCTCTTGAAGGTGAACCTTCCTTGAAAAAAATATAGAGAAATAAAATAAGGAAAAATAACTTAATTCCCTTCTTTCTTTTATTAAAACTTGCTCTTTTATATTTCTTCTCTTTCCATAGAAAGAGGTGGTGAGTGAACACCAAGGTTTTTCCTGTTTTAAAAATGATGTTGCTCTGCTTTAGTATAGAAAACATGATTGGAGTTTCAACAATCATGTATTACTTTAGTGCTTCACAAAAATGTTGAAGGCCACATTTCTTCTTGTTGAGTGTGATGCTTTTAGAATACAATAGCTGCATGCATCTTCAAAATATAACACTAGCATTTTTGTAAATTATAAATCTTAGGGTTTTTTTAGACAGCAAAATGATACTTGGATTTTGGTTCTCCAATATTCTTTAACAGCATCAGTGAAACTACAGTAATTAAGTGTCTAGCTCAATGGTTTTAATTTCCAAGGATATTCTTTATTATTAGCTTAATGGCTAAGGGCTATAATAAGTGCTTCATAATGAAAAGTATATTATAAATAGGGCATGAAATACAGTATATACAATAATATAGAGACGTATACAGAAGTGATATTTTCTAATAAAATCTGATGAGTATTGATATTCAGAAGTGAAAGCTAGCAATGCCATATAATCAAAGAAAGCTCAGAAAGGTGTTGAAAGTTGGCTCTTAACATGTCAGTGCATGAAAAACAAGAAAGTAGGTATATCTCTGGGGATGTTTATAAAATTAATCTAGGACTGTTACAAAGGCTCACATTCACCTCATTTTGAATAGTGGTAGAAAAGTTGTCCAGTACAAACAAAGTTATTATATCAGTTATCGTAGAAAATAAGAATTTTCAGAATTCAGGAAAGCAAGGAGCCTATAAAATCAAAATCTAAGCGAATATATGACTGGCTTCCAGGTTTTATTGCATTTTATACAATGTCAGGCTCAGGCGACAAGCCGGTCGGTCAATTCCTGTTGCAACCAATACATCAACATCCAGTTGATCCAATAAAAAAGCAGGCCCTGCACATGTGGGAAAATGCTAAGAAGGAAAAAAAATATTGCATTTTATATATAACATAAATGAGCAAAATGTTTTTATTCTCTTTCGTAAGTGGAAATCTGTAGGTTTAGAAATGTCCCCAGATGTTCCTTGAGAATGTTAAAACGAGTACACTTCATATGCACTAGCATTCTGCATTTCTCTAGTGACTCCGGTCCACTCCGCATTGCAAAAACTCCATCGCCACCTGAAGAGGCCTCCCCGCCACTTAGTCCTGAAGCTGGTGCAAATCATACATTGGCAACCCCGAGTTCTCCAGCGCCTGCACGTCCTAAATCTCCTTCACAGGTAACATAATGCAGATAACATTTTGGCAGTCTTGCATCACAATTTAAGGTTGCTATGGTGAAATCTTTTGAGTTAAAAGCTGCCAATTGCCTCTGGTATCAGTCCAAGCAGCAAACTTAGCATGGCTATTTTTATCCTCCTGATATAAAAGGAATATAATTTCTTTTCCTACAGGGTAAATGTGATTTGATTTCTTTTGTCATTGGTGGTCTACTAATCTGCAAGGACATGTCAGCTCTGCACGCCTGTGGCAGTTGGAGAGATTCTGGCTGGGCTGCTGACGACCAACTAAAACACCCTTCACTGATGTGGAATATCCAAAGTACACAAACACTAAATTGCTTTCCAAATTCTTCAGTACAGAAGACTGTTATTGTCCACAACAGAAGTTTCTGCAAGCTTTTGGTTCATTGACATGTGCTTCAAATAAGCTTGTGATCATTGCAGCTGTTCTATTACTCAGCGACTGTTGCATTTTTCTTAGTCTTATTAGCCCAACAAAGAAATGTATCAAAAATCAGACTGTTCTGAGATGCCCCTCCAATAACAGATGGGTCTTCAGTTCAGCAGGCAATTCTGTAATCAAAAAGAGTGAGATCATATTGCCAACCTCCCTCTTAATCTTCCATATTGTTGTTGTTTTTAAAGCTCCTGAAACGTTGAGAATTAATTTTCAAGAGCCAAAAAGATTTCAAAGGACAAGAAGATAAAACTTCCTTCTACTGAAGGAGAGGACTAGTTCACACCCAGTTCTCTGTTCCTTCTAAATTTTATCTTTAAAAGACCTTATTAAAGACCATATACATTTTTCCCTGAATTTTTAGCTAGGTTACAGGGCTCAACCACACAGCCACATTAATATGCTTTCCTCCCATCTTTGAACTGGAAAGAATGTATGCTATTGTAAAAACCACAGTCTACACAGCAAACCCACCTACCAAGAGTGCCTTGCTTTTAACTCATTTGAACTCTTATAAAAAAATTGGGATGTTACAAGCTTTTTGTGGGTGATCTAACCCAGCACATGTGATAATGCTTGTTATTTTTTTTCTCTTTTTATTTTTGCCTTTAATTTGAAATTAAAGGTTTGTGTTGCAAACAAAGCAACACAAACCTTTAATTTCAAATCTAGGCAATATTCCTTTACTGTATAGCTTTCCCACTATACAGATAACAGCAGCAATAAATCAGTGATTATCAGCTTGAATTAAAAGCAATGCCCAGGCATTGTAAAGTGAGTTCTTTTCCTACAGGTAAAAAGCTTCCTGTTCCTGGTAAAGAATGTTAGCTAAATTGTTAGTATTGTTATTCCTATATTACATTCCTGTTTCCTACTAAGAGATAAGGAAGGAGAAATTATGTTGGCTGATGTTCTCTCTCTCTGATGTCAAGTCTCTTTCTTTGGCTGCTGGGATGTGGTCTTCTTCAGCTTTCCACAAAAGTTATCTGTGTTGGATAGAAATGTCCCACGGCAGGTACTTCTTCCTTTGGTGGATCTGTGGACCCTTCCCCACTCACAATCATTTCAAGAATCTTGACCCAGGCTCTCCTGGGATTAACAAAACTTTAATAACCAATGCTATCTAGATTCATCTTGATTGCCAGCCTTTATTCTCCTTCCTTTTCCTTCCCAGAGTTCTTTTTCTTTTATGTCTTCCCATCTCTTCTTCCTTGCCAGCCCAGCAGTGTCCTCCTTTTCCTATAGGGAAATACTACCTATGGGAACATTATAAGAGCCAGTGCTATCTCTCCCATGCTCCCATTCTACTTATCAGCTAAACAGAATACCTGGCTGTACACATACATGATAGGATGTTACCGAACCATGGGGGTTCTGACAAAAGGCAAAAGTCAGTGCTTAAAAGAGAGCCCAAACTAGTCTTCAAAGATTTCATGATCCAAAAACTGATCTAGAAAGTGTGTACAAGTTGTCTTGCTAAGGATTTTGCCATTCCAGGATGGATGAAATATTAGCGGCATGGTATGCCAGGGGAAAAGCACTCGGCAGCTGCTCTTCCCCATTCCACACTGTTGGGTGAGGTTCTGCTTTCTGCTTACCAATGGCAAAGTTAACTTCATGGAAGACTCACATTTGGTCTTCCAGGAGGTTTCTATTCTCCTGAGCAAACCACACCCACAAAAAAGAGAAGAAAATACCTACACAAGAAAGATGGCTGGCTTAAGGGTGTATGGCACCCACACTGACTAATGGTGCCACCTTTTGCCAATGTAAAGATTTTTTAGAATGGTTCAGAAGGATGGGCAGCATGGGTGTCCTTACGTTTTGGCACCCTAGGCCGGTGCCTGCTTGGTTTAACTTAAAGCTGGTCCTGGTGTGAAGGCATAGTGCTCTGCAGCCAGACAGAAGGGGGTAGTCCTTCAGCAGGCCAGCAGGAATTCAGCAGACTGCAGACTCCTCCGTGTGCCATGAATTGTCCAGATGGGAGATCCAGTCGTGGCATAAGATGGAAAACGCTATCCCTAACCATAGCCCAACTTCCGCCTGCTTGACCAGTGGAGTGGCTGCAAGATAAAAGCCCTCTCTGAGGATATGTCCCTTGATAAACAGTTAGTGGGCCATCTTTGTGCTGTGACAAGCAGGCAATGGGCATGAACCCACCAGTTTGTAAGGAGACTCCTAGAACATTGCCTTTCCCCTCCAGTTATGGGAGCTGAAATCTCCCTAGCTTGTGAGTAGAACTGCACGCATAGGTCTCTGGAGCAATGTTTATCACCACTGCATTTCTACAGACGGAGCAGCAGCAAAGGCAAAGGCAGCTTGAGATACGGAATTAATTTGAATAAAGATGGAATTAATTTGACTAAATAATACATTTAACTAGTATAGCAAGAAAAAATGAAAAAATTAAATAGTGGTCAAATACAAAACCCTCTGTATCTAACAATATGCTATAGTTTTCTACAATATTGTGCTTTTGATCCTAATTTTCTTTCTCTGAGCTTTTATCAAGCCCCTAAGCATCAGCACATGACTGAGGAAGCAAGATTCACATGGAGTCTCATTAATCAAGATTAATGCCAGGAAAAAAGGGGTTAAGATACAGAATCTTGGAAATGGAATAAATAAAATTCCAGCCATCATTAGTGGCTACATTAAGATAGGTCTCTGTGAGTTGTTTGAGATTCTTACTCCCAGATTCCTTAACTGAAGGACCCCTATAAGGAATAAGACCGAAGTGACCAGCATCTGCTTGCTGTTTGCCATGTTTTGAAAAACTCCTTTTTCTGTCTCAGACTCTGAGAGTTCTCTTTCACTCCCCTTTCCTCTGCAGCCCCGTCCTTGCCCAGATTTGTTCCTGAGAAATAACAGACCAGTGTTTTTCAAACTTGGGAACTTTAAGATGTGTAGACTTCAACTCCCAGAATTCCCCAGCCAGCAGCATAACCCTTTCTCCCAATTTTGAGGGGCATAGTGAAAATGGAACTGTTCAGCAGAGCTTCCAGTCACTGGGAGATAACCATGTGAATACAATTTTGATATTCTGAAGTATTTGTTGTGTAATTTAATACTGTCTTTTATGCTGTATACCACAAGGACTCCATTAGGTGTATGGCAGAATAACAAAAACTAAATAAATAAAACATAAAGAAAGTGTGCATCAACCCTTCAGATAGATCGTTGATTTATTGCAAGAGAGCCCTTCATTTTTACTTCTCAGATTGGGAAATAAAAGGAGGATAAAAATTGTACCATATATTCAACTACCCACTTGTGATTGTTGGAAGAAAAAAATAAAATAAAATACATTTTACTTGACTGGCTGTGATATTCTTTGAACTAAGGAACACTATTACTTGAAGAAAGCTTGAAGACAGTAATGTCTTACATCAAAATGCTACAGAAACTGCCAGTCCTAGTTCTGAAACACTGAAAAAAAATCATTATTGTTTTAGTGTACCTTTGATATATCATTTTATCTTTCAAACATGCTTGTTTTTCTTTCAGCTGAGGAAAGGACCTCCTGTCCCACCGCTGCCTAAACTCACACCAACAAAGGACTTGCAACAAGAAAATATCATCAGTTTATTTGATGATAACTTTGTTCCAGAAATAAATGTGACAACTCCTTCACAGGTAAGTTAAGTGAATGTATCAGTCATTTTCTCCAGCCTGAGGTATTCAGATGGATAATGCTACAACTTGATCATCCCAAACCAAAAGGCCTTGGCAGTGTTGGCTGGGAAGGCTGGGAAGCCTTTTTGGGTGGAGATAATAGCAATGACTCATATACAAGCTGGGAAAGCCTAGAATAAGTTGTCCCAGTAACTGACAAAATAGTTTTCATTAATTTGAGACTATTTTATACGCTTAGAATGGTGTAATGGTGAAACCTCTAGTTAATCCTCACAAAAACGTGGTGAGGTTTGGTAGTGAATCCCACAAACGCTCTTGTGTTTGGATGAGCATGACTGAAATTTGTCCAGGATCAATCCTCTGTTAAGTAAATGTCCATGATTCCTACACCCTTAGTCCTAACTGACTGTATTTACTAATAGGAAAATACACCACATAATGAAATACTAACTGAATCTGAAGTTTGAGGCTAGTGAAATCATTAATGAATTCCTTCCTGCATAAAATAACCAAAAACTAATTCAGAAAAAGTCTGCTGCATTATCCATTTCATATTATATCCATGACTACCTATTCACATATTCTGAATGGACTGGCTCCACTGGATTCCAACCTCTTTCCTTATTGTTTGCACTGATGTATATTTCATGAGAAAAATTATTTGTACATTCAGATTAAACATGATGTTTAAAAGATGTAATTCCAACAGAATGAAGTTCCTGATGCTAAAAAAGAAGAGTCTTTGTTAGATTTGGACTTTGATCCTTTCAAGCCTGATGCTGCATCTACTGTGGTAACCCATTCACCAATGTCTCAGGTATTTTTTTCAAATACATATGTGATTATGACACTATGTGTCCTGTAATCAGGGTTGTTTTATACCACAATCCTGTGAGAACATAGAAATGTGGCTTTAATTTAATAAAAGCACATTGCTAGCCCTTATTATAAGGGTTATAAAGAGTTATAATAATTAAAAAGAGGTTTTTGAAGTGGTTGGTTAAAATGATTTGCAGTGGTTGGATGTGGGCTTCGGTGAGTATATCTTGCAGAAGCAGAACAAATTATGCAAAACAGTCATAATGCAAAAAAATCAATAATGAAGAAAGAACAAAATTCTGGCCGGTTTGCAAAATGTATACTGATTTTAGAATTCAGAATTAATAGTTTACTGATTTGAGATGTTATATTATAAACTTCGGTATAAAAGCAGAAGATAGCTTACAGCAAATTAAAAAGTACAAAATCATTTTCCAAATTAAGTAACACCATAAATCATTAAAAAGCAAACATAGGCCTAACAAATAATCCCACTAAGGAAGGATTCAGTGCAATGAGATACCTTCCGTTTTGCAACCACCCATTTTTCTATTTCTACGGAGGTGTCAACAGTCTCCCCTGAAGACCTTGAACAGCATGCAGCCCATACAGAATGAGGTGACAAGGCTGACCCTGAAGTGCGCAAAACTCAGGTCATTTAGAGAAGGCATTCAAACATGATACATGGGACAGAGAGGAGAAACCTTATAGTGCAGTTTGATCTGCCACTATAAATAAGCTGAGGCTAATTGGAGTAAGTGGTCTGATATTGTCAAAGCTGCCCTTTTATTTGAGGTCAGTAAAGGAGTATCTAAGAAGTTTAAAGGCATCTTGGCAAAGTTGAAGCAGGCCACAAAAAGGAGCGGTCATTGACGTCATTCATTTGTGTGGACAAATTGATTTTTAGTACATGAAATGTACTAAATGTGGAAGAAAGACCACGGCCATTAAAATCTGAGATGCTGGTATCTGGAAAAAATTTTCAGTCTGATACACTTTTCATATTATTCAGACAAAGAATGCTTTACCCCGACATGATCCCCCACAGGAACAGCCTTTAAGTTTACTTCTTTAAAAGGTTGTTTTTATGATAGAAGTCCTTGATTGTGTATGCTTATACTATACTCTATAGCTGTTCATTGAAATATACCTAGAAATGAAATTGTGACAGGACTGGGAGACTAAAATTGAAGAATACAGGGCAATGGAAAAACTGACCATACATTCACAGCAGAGATCTAATCAATTCAAGCAGGAATAGTTTCCTTATATACAACATATCACACAGCGAGTCAAGCTAAGACACTTAGAATATGGTTTATGAAGAAAAAGAGAAACTGATTAAAAAAAAAATCCAAGTGGTCCAAATAGAAATGAGCAATAATCACAAATGACTAAAGTATAATATAAAAATATATAAGTAGCAATTAGAGCTAGGGGTAAAAGTGGGGGAGAAAGGAATGGGAGGTGACTAGAATGCTTTTTCTTATAATGTTTTTTCTTTATTTTTTTGTTTGTTTTGTCTTTTTTGAAACTTTTTAAAAATCTATCTTTAACCACCATATTTTCATTTCAACTTTCACCATAGTGTAAAGTTTTATGTAGGTACAGTATATTTTTTCTTTTCCTTTTCCTTTATTTTTTGTTTTGTTTTTGCTATTGTTTGTTTTACTTAATTTAAAAAAAATGATTAAAAATAAGGGATTGTGATTGTTCAGGCAGGGACATGAAGGCCATCAATAACACTCTTGAAAGCTACTCATTCACAACAATCGGGGGTTTAGCAGCAAACGTCCTGGAGGATTACGCCTTAAGAGAAAAAGCTGAAATTCCTTTTCCCTAGTTAGTAGAATTCCTTTTTCCCTAGTGATCTCAGTGATCAAAACAAATAGAGATGTTTCAAATATGGTGTCGGAGGGGGAGATCAAATGGATGCACCCAAACCCCTTGTTCTAACCTATAACTAACTGCTTAGCCAACTTCTGTTGAGCACATGTATAATCACATTACTATCTAATTATGCTTTACAGCACATAATAAAAGATGTACAAATGAGGTTTTGAACACTGTCCTTCTTTCCCCTCTTCTCAGACGCTACCCTGGGATCTGTGGACGGTATGGCTGGCCTTTATTTCTTTCTACTTCTTCTTGTTTTGTATTTCAATGGTATCATCAATCTGCAGAATATGCCACTCACAAAAAACTTGTCTAAATTTATAGAGGACAGTGAGGGAAAGGAATAGGTAATAGAATAACTGTTAAATGCTGCTTTATGTAATTATGCTGATATGGAAAGAAATATTCAAAATGCTTGCTTGCTTTCATCTCTTTATTTTGAATTACAGTTTAAAGAATCCTACCCTGATGGAAGGATTACCTAGACTCTTCGGTTATTTTAATGGTCATCCAAAACCTCCTGCTACAAATACTATCTTTGTACCATAAATTTGTAAATGAACATTAAACAGTCATAATCCAAAGGCATGACAATGTCATTGTAATAGGTCATGTAATTGGAATAACTGGTTTTACTGGTTCTAGTTCACTGAGCACTCCCTACCCAGTTGAATTCATCTTTATCTGCCTTTCAGACTGACCATGAAACAAAAGCTTGAAGCATTTTGATTGCTCTCAGTTATGCCACCCTCACTCCAAAATCTAGAGGCATCTTAAAGTCATTTTACTGGTTGAGTAGGGCAAGGCTGGTGCTCATTATCCCCCCCCCCCACCATGGCCTGTGCACTGACTTGGCTGCCCCAGCATCTCAATTCTCAATGCCTTCCTTCCCTCCCCTTCACTGCTGGGACATTTCCTCTTCTCTGCCTCCCCTCAGCTACTGCTGATGTCCCAGGGTGCCATATCCTTTTTCTTGCTGTTAGCTCCCTGCAAAGTGGTTCCGCCTGGAAATGGTTTTGTTCCATATCCAAGCAAAGCAGCCCTTACTTGCCAATAAACATGACCAGAATTACATCATTTGCTAATTTTCCTTATTTCAGGAAGTACAGTGCTTCATATATATACTGCTGCTTGTTATGGAGCTGCTATTTTTTTCATAACGTTGAATGTGTTGAATATAAGGTTTCCAGCAGCATTCCTATCTATTTCTCTTCGGGTATAAGTTGCATTAAGGAATCTTGATATAGAATTGTTGCCTTTCTTGAGGCACTGAAAGAAGACTAGGAAAAATTGCTGGTTATTTTTGGCAGCTAGTACAAAGAATTAAATGACTGCAGATTTGAACTTGCTAAATTGTCATTGGGTTATTTAAATCTGTCAGTGAGATCACTCTGAACAGCTTTTGAAGTTGTGGGTTTAAAACTGAAGATGGATGACAGTTCTTTCAGAAAATGAAGTTATTTGCTTCTTGAAAATAAATTTTGCAAGGCTTTTCATTGTTTCAAAACCCTTGCAGGATCTATTCCACCAGATGCAACAGTGTATGTGCGCCAGTACAAACATCATGGAGATTAAATTTCTCTCTTAAACCATTTTCAACTTCTCTTCAATATACTGGGTTGCTTTCAGAGTTAATCATACTTAGAGTAGATCAGTCATGATCAAATTAATTGCCAGTGATTTCAGTGGGACCTAGTGTAACTAAATATGGAAGCACCAACCATAATTGAGGTTTTCACGATAGAAATTCTGGATTATTTATACAATATAATTTTCATTACAAGTTTCAGCTTGCTTTTTTGATCCATAACAAGGCATTGACTGGAATGAGTGTCAGAAGTAAGCTAACCTGCCAAATTCAGAATCTGGGCTGATATTTTTATTTTGCCTTCTTCCACATATACAAACAAATTAGAGCCATTCCATTGTATTGTTACAGAGGTCCTATGGCTGAAAGATAAAGATCAGTCAGGTTATGCAGCGATTTTGAGAATGACTAGGAACTTTAACCACAATCCATCTGGAAACTGGAGAATTGGTGTTATGATTCTAGTTCCAATCATTATCAAAATAGCAGTGAAAATTCTAAATCCTTTCTAAATTGCTAAGTGGAATGAAGTGATCTGTAGGAATAGAAGAGATTCAGCATCATGTAATCAGCTAGTTCCTAATCCTTCAGTAATGTGATAAGCTCTTGCCAAGAACCTCTTGTTTCTTTTCAGTAACATGATGAAATATCCTCCCCATTTTCTCTGAGCTTGATCTTTTTATATATATATTTTCTTTCCTTGCAGACCAACAATGAGCTGGCACAGCCGGTAAGTAGATTTCCTCTATTTCACCTGCCAAAACAATTGTTTAGGTAGTTGCTTTCTTCAAATATAGATTACCCTTACAGATATTATAAATTGTATTAATTCCTTAATTTAGTCACATTTTGAGTTCTGTATTTTTTTTTTCCTCCTCATGACCACCTTTATCTTGCTCATCTTCTTTTTTTCTTTACTTTCCTGCCTCCTTAAAGCCTGACTCTCCAAAAAGTCTTTCCCTGTGTAACCTGGTCATGGAGGAAAATCCAGACAGTGGGTCAACAGAAGATCCTAACAAGTCCCAAACTGATCTAGGTTCACTCAACTTGGGCCTAGAGCCAGATTCACTCAAGGGGGCAGCCAGCAAGAGCCAGGAAAGAACTGCTGATGTTCCTGTGCCTTTCCTTCAGGCAGAGGAAACCTCAGCAGAATCATCTGATACACTGGCTACTCCTAGTGCTATAGGCAAGCATGAGGATGGTGCATCATGGACAGCTTACACAAATGAACATGAAACCACTTTTCTAAAACCAGACCTGGACATTAGCCATAGTGTAGACGATGGCACTGATCTGGTGGAGAGTAACCAGCTTTTAGTGAGTGAAACTTTGGCTGAGAAGTCTGCAGTGAAAACTAACAGCATTTTGCATGGAGAGCCATTTAGTGTGGAAAAGACAAAAGAGGAGAATCGGGGCTTAGAAGACTCTTTCTGGACAAATACGGAGCCATGTGAAAAGGTAGAAACCAGAGATGCTAACCTCAAGGAGTTCAGTAAAGCCTTCAGTGAGATTGAATGTCTTAAGGCCTTAGCACAACCTGATAATGAAACTCTGAAAAACACTGAGGTAGAAATTAGACAAGATTTAGAATGTACAAATGGGCAGCAAGAAACAACTGCTGATAGTTGCCCCCAGAAATTTGGTGCAGAATTTAATAAGGTTGCTATGGATAAGGAGACAGATGGAAGAGATTTTGAGCATGTAAGCAGCTCTACAGCTCTAGAACATAGTAGGCTTGAAATGGGGAATGCTTTGTGTTCCTGGAGTCAGGATCCCAAAGAAACGTGTGTGGATGAAGTACCCTTTGCTAGTAATGTGGCCCTAAAATGCACACAGGAAAGTGATATGGCAAGGATTACAGGAATTGCTGACCTCCAAGTCAGAGACAAATTTTCTACAGAGGTTGGAAATCTTGGGTGTGATGCTGAGGCAGAAGAGCTTGGCAAAGAACTTGAAGACTGTGGCTTCAATGTCTCTCAAGAGAATAAAGATAATGAATGTCAAGCTACCTTTATAATCTTTGACAAGGATATGGCTCAACAGCCTGGGTCTGAGAACACAACTAATGCATATTTCAGTAGTTCTGAGCTAGATAATGTGGAAGGTGAACTGGTATTTAGGGAAGTGTTGTGTGTGCCTGAAGAACTTAACATTAGTTTCCCCAAAGTGTTGGAGACAGAACCCTGGGATGACAGCTGGGATCCTACATTTAATTCTGATTCCTGGAGGTTTTCTAGCCAGTCAAATAGCTATGATAACTGTCCCTTTCCTCCCACACAAGACTCTCTAGATGGAAACTTGGAGAACCTATGGCCAGGTTTTATGCAAGATTTAGGAGGATTAAACAATAGCTGGGGAACTGCATGTGTAATGTCCAGTCAGCAGAATCAGGAAGCATCTTTACAGCAAGGATCATCTGGGGAACAGACAAACATTAGCACCTGTGGATCAAGCAAGATAAGTAGGCCATTGGTTCTGTTCCAAATGGGAAACTCTGGAAAGGCTAGCACCGAGAGCTTCACTAGCCCCAAAGAAACTGAGACCAACAGCTCAGATTTATCTGAAGATGAAATTGCTAACCGAAGATATGGATTGTTGTACCAAGAAATTGAGGCTGATAAAGAAGAGGTACCTACCCTACTATGTAGCATAGTCTAGAAAAGAGAGTTCCCTAGGTCACATTTACCTATATATAACATTGTATTTTATGAACAATCCTTCCTTATCCCTCGTTTGCTAATCTCCGTAGTGATGCATTCGTGGCACTGTTCAACCATGTAATTATGCTAAGTTGACCACAGAGAGGTTGACTGTTGAATAGGCCATCTTATTTTGGAATTTTGCTTTCTGATAAGGTTTATGTTCCTGTAGTCTCTTTGAATTCTGAATGTGTATCATTGTTCTTTTTATTTTTTTTAGCCACTGAAAATGTTACCCATTAGTTTCACACTTCTTGTCAGAATTGTCATTCTTTCCCTTCAGTTTAAAAAGTCTATATATTTGGACCACGTACAAACAGGATTTTGATTTTAAAATCTGCATTCTGATTTCTAATTTGGCCTAGGCATCCAGCACTGCTTTTAATGGATTTGCACAGGTAAGGAATTGTTTTATTTATTTATTTATTTAAAAGATTTGTATAGCCATCCATTTTAAAATACAACTCTGGGGGCTCACAACAACACTAAAACCCCAGAACCATAAAAAAAAAAATAATAAAACAAAAACCCAGCTCCTCAGTCATCCCCTTGGGATGCCCCAACAACCAACCCAAGACACTCTCACTCTACCCCAGCACCTGAGTAAAAAATCAGGCCTTGATGGCCTTCCAGAAGACTAAAAGGCCTGCCAGATCACTAGGAAGAGGGTGTACCATAAAATAGGGGCAACCACGGAAAAGGCACACTTCCAAAGTCCTACTAGAAGGCAACGTTTCAGGGAAGGGACCTGGAGCATGCCTACCTTATCTGATCTGATAGGATGCACAGATACTCTCAGGGAGGAACATTCCCACAAATAACCTGGTCCTGTGCCATGTAGGGCTTTACAGGTAATAACCAGCACATTTAATTGCACCTGGAAGGAAACTGGAAGCCAGTGCCACTTGTACAAACAGGCGTAATGTGGGCGAACCTAGAAGCACCCAGAACTGTGCACACCAGTGTGTTCTGGACCAGTTGTAGTTCCTGAGTGGTATTCAAGGGCAGCCCCATGTAAAGCGTATTGCAGTAATACAAACAGGAAGTAACTAAGGTATGAGTAACAGTGAGTAAGGCCTCCCAGTCCGGTAAAGGGTGCAAGATGAATCTGTGCAAAAGCCCCCCTAGATGTGGCTGCCACCTGCTCATTGAGCAGGAGCTGTGAGTCCAGGAAAAACCCCAGATTGCACACCAGCTCAGTCCAGGGAAGTGCAACCCCATCCAGAGTCTAACATGACATATCACCAACCCTGGGAGGCCAAAAACCCAAAGCCACTCCATCTTGCCAGGGTTGAATTGAAGTCAGTTCCTCCCCCTCCAAACCCACAGCCTCCAGGCACTTGATCAGCACTGCCACAGAATCACCTACCCAGCCAAGAGAGGAGATATATAGCTAGATATCATCAGATGATACCACACCCTGTACTGTCGAATGACCTCACTGAGCAGTTTCATGTAGATGTTAAAAAGGAGAAGCAAAAGACCCCAGCCCTTAGGCACCCCACACTGCAGGGGCCTAGGGCTTGACCTCTCCCCACCACCAACACTGACTGGAACCAGCCATGGAGGAAGGAGGAAAACCACTGCAAAACAGTGCCTCCCACTCCCAACCCCCAAAGCCAGTCCAGAAGGATACAATGGTCAATGGTACTGAAAGCCTCTGAGAGATCCAGGAGAGCCAGCATGGTTGCATTATCCCCATCCTGAGCCCTCCAAAGGTCATCAGCAAGCATGACCCATACCATGTCTGTACTGTACCCCAGCCTGAACCTAGACTGAAAAAGCTGCAGATAATCCACTTCATCCAGGATCCTCTGAAACTGAGCACCAACCACCTTCTCAACAACCTTCCCCAAAAAGGCAAAGTTGGAGACTGGATTAAAGTTATCTTACACAGTTGGGTCCAAGTATGGCCTCTTGAGAAGGGGGCACCTCCTTCAAGGTAGGTTGTACCACCCCCTCCCACAAAGAGGCATTGACCACCACTTGGCCCCAACCACATGCCACCTCCTGGAACGACTTAATCAACCAGGAGGGTCCAGCCACAGCCATGAGGACCCTGTCTACTTAGGATCAACCAGCTCACCTCTTCCCAGATAACAGGGCTCAGACATATCTCAGTCACTTCCAAAAGATCTGCCCAGCCAGAGTCCAACACCAAGCAACTTTGTCTGACAGATGCCAAGAATATTCCTCACAATGGCCCTGTAAGAGCAACCCCAGCTCCTCCTTATCCAAGAAGGACCCGGTCACACAAAACAGGACCATTGGGTGTCTATCTGCAGATGCAATAAGGGCGTTTTATTTGAGACAGATCATTAAAGTTCCCAAAGGCCAGCATTTGGATAGGATACAGTAAAGCAGATTTTCTGACCTGGTGCCACTCAGAAGTATTGAAATACATTTCATCATCCCCAGCAAGTGGGATCTAGAGATGACAAAATTGTAGGCCAACTTCACCAGAAGGCAGTGGGTTGAAAAGGATAAATAATTTACTCCTATCAAATCCACAATGTAATGGCAAATTCAGTAGAATACATGCACATCTAGGTGTCAGTAGGTTTGTTAGGTTTAGAGGTGTGCAAAGTTTGGATCCAAAGTAGGCTCCCTCACTGTTAGCAGCTCCGTAAAGCCATGCCTTTTCCTTGACTTCCACAACGGTCTCAGAAAAGTCTTATCTGGATTAAGGAGGCAGTAGAGAAGCAACAGTAGTATACCTTCTTGCCACTGCCTCAACTTAAATATCTATTTCTCTGAGTTTGTGTGGCTACAATGCCAGTCCAGGAAAAGGCATCGCTTTGTTAAGGAGATACCAATAGGACCATTGCAAATGCCCACACCAGATCCAAATATTGCATACCTCTGATGTGGTTGAATGTATGCTTTGTTTTAAACCTGCTTCCATAAAAAGCATTGGAAAGACATATATTTAATGTGTTCCACCATTTTTAACCCCATTGTTCTTTGCTGTGGGAATATTAGTTGGCTATCGCAGTCAAGCTGAAAGGTGTTGTGAAGCTTGTTGTCTTGTCAAACAAAGGTTTGGCCCTCTGAATAATTGGGTCTTGTTGGCTTGTGTGTTTCAAGCTGTATATCACACCTTTAAATCAAATGCCTCCAAATTGGGTTACATCAGATTCCAAACCTTAGTTAAGATGCTGCTGTTGTAAACTATAGTGTATGGTCTGTCAAGTTACGCAAACCAGGCAGCTATAAGCTGCCCATAACATCATCCACAACTGATAACAAATACAACTCGATTAAACATACTCAGCCTAGGATAGTATGAGGACTTCACTGAAGTCAATAACAAATGACATGTGAAATCCTACATTATATTTAATAGATCCCTTATAAATGAAAATGCAACTCAAAGTACTGCCCAAAAAGTGTTGGTATAAAGCTGCTGTAATAGTAAATGACATTGAATCAAATCCGCTCTGTTTAATAAGCAAATATAATAGAAATGTTTTAATGTCTACCAACAAGCTTTATAGTAATAATTTAAAGAGTGCCACATTTGATTACAAAAGTCTGTTTGTCTCCAGAGGGAATGATTTTGCAAATCCAAGCCCCCAGACTCCATAGTAGAAGCTTGCTTAACTCAGTAAGAACAGTGGGAAAAAATGTTGGGAAAATATTAAATTAAATAAATAGACAAAATAAAAGAATTGTATGTTTTTTGGAAGCCAGCAGTTAGAAACACAGTGTATATTAAAGAAACGAATATAAGATAATAATTTTGTCATATTGTACATAATTAATCTTTAGTAGGTTTTTAAAAGTTGATGCTTAAATAATGCCCTGGATGTATCCTTTCTATATGTACATTCCCAGGACACCTCCCTGTTTTCATTGCAGCCAAGTCAGGATGTTGCAGATAGCATGGTAAGTTGTTGCTTTTTGTATCATATTGTGTCAACCTCATTTTCTAATCACTTTTGGAGATTGTCTATTAACCATCTTAAAGCTATTAGAGACCTTTGGAACGACAAGTTTGAAATGTCTTCATCAGGTGAGTGTATCTTCAACTCTGAACAAGGAAAAATTAATTATAAGCTTAAGAACTTAAAGAATTTGAAATAAA